ACCCGGGGTGGCTCACAGGTCCCCATCAGAGGGGAATGGTTCTACAGCTCCCTCCCTGCTTTAACTCACTTTCTGGCCGACCTTGGAGGCAGCGTCCCCAGGGACGCACGAAGGGAATCCTATTTACTGATTCAGTGAGGTGGCCGTGGCACCATGCACTGGCAGAAAGGCGATTTGCAAAGTCCACCGCGAGCAGTCCCTGGGACACTGCCCGCACCGAACGCGGATGAGATTAAACAAGTGAGAGGGAGAAATACGGGCTGGTGAAGGGAGACCAGGGTTCTCAGAAATGCAGCCACCCCGCTCCTCCTGGCCCCTGCAGATGTGACAGGGATACCACAAACCTCCGGTACCTGGGGCTCTTCCACTCCGACTGAGCAATTTGCTGAAATACGGGGCTCAGAGCTGGAAGGGATGCCAGCCTGCTCAGCCTGGGAGAAGGGATGGAGGTCTGCTTCCCCTCGGAACCCCGCACAGCCATCACCGCCACTGCCCTTCAAGCTGTGCCCAAGGGCCCTCGGTCTGCAGCCTAGTTCCCCATCGGGTCTTATGGCTGTTACTCACCTACGTTGATTTGTCCCTGAAGATCCCCATAAGGACGATCCCTATTATTATTTGTCATCCTTAGGGCATCATGATATTGCTGAACACCCCAGAAATAAAGGAGAACAGAGAGGCAAGGGTTTTTCCTTCAATACAAGCGTTTACTCATGTTTGTGTCTTGTGGTGTGATAGTGTAGGCACTAACCATCCCAAAGGTCAAAGCAACATCCCCCAAATATTTACAGCAGTACAGATGTTGATCAACAGCCGAGTCCCCGGACAGCAGCCCCGTTCCGTGCCTTCTCCTCGTTCTGGCTCAGCTTGCTCTGTGAAGAGCACAAGCAAAAAGCAGGTAGAGGTCCTGACCCACCGTCCAGTCCGAGCTGCAACCCAGGGCTGTAGGGAAGAAATATCCCAACACATGCTTGAACACAGAGTCATTCTTCCTCCGGAGTGCATACTTGATTACCAACAGTTTGTTGCCCTCGCTCAGAATTATCCTCCTGGAGTAAGTTATGCAGCATTCCTGAATGAATAAAGAAATAAAAGGAGAAAAAAAGTAAGTAATCAGTGCTTTAGCAGCGATGTCAAAAGAGTCCATGAAAATCACTCTCCTTCCTCCAGACTTCATTGTCTGCACAAGTCTAACCAGCAGGGAACGATCGCATTCGTACCAGTGTTGATACTCCTTTCAAACCCAAATTAAAAGTCAAGCAGTAACCCAGAGGAGGCTTTTCAGAGCAAACCCTTTGCCTGGTTCTCACCGCATTTCATGTAGAGGGATGGTTTCCTTCTGCACGCGAGCCGTTTGCAGAGGCATCTCTCCCATGTCGGTTCACAGCACCACAAAGTGAAAGACTTCTGCCATGGCCATGGAGAATTCAGCTCCGGGGAGTCTCATTTCCAGAGAGACAGATTAACAAAAAGCCACAAGACATGGGGGAAAAATGGCTAATGACAGGAAAGTCAAAGAGGTAGATCTGTCACATTAGCAGAGAGCCCGGCGAGGGTTTGCGAAGCAGAGGGTAATGACAGCAGCCTACCACAGTCTGGAGAGGACCGATTGCCAAGGAGGGACAAAAGAGACACGTGAGGAAGTGTCTGAAGGGCTGCAAAACCACAGTTGTTAGAGGGATGCTCTTGGCTGCAGGGACACCGCTACCCAGCGGTCCTTGCCCAGGTTTATTCAGGTCCTGAAGGGCGATCTGCCAGAGCTGGAGATGTTTGTGGTGGCAGCGAAGGTGTAGAGGGTTGGAGAAAAGCCCTCTTGCACTGATTTCTCTGGCAGAGGGTGCACTGACTGGCCCTGGAAGGCACTGGAGGGTGATGTCAGGGTCCAGGTTTTCCCACCTTTTACCTCAGAGGGTGCTTGTGCTAGCCCAGGGGCGGTGAAGGGGCTCCATGTTCCCCTGGCACCTTCCTGCCAGCTTTTCTGCCCAAGCAGGGTTAGAAAGAGAAAATGCATCCAGTCAGATGGATCTCCTCGGCCCCTGGGGCCAAGCACAGGGTTCATTCCCTCCGGATCCATCGTTGGATGTCAACTGCTCTGGCTCTGGCTCCCTAGGAGACTCTTCCAGTCCAGCAGATCTCACCAGCCTGCTAAGTCCAGGTGTGGGTCTGGATTACAACACCTCCCACTCAGAGCATTGTCACTTAAGTGTCACCTCCCTGCCATCGTCCTTCCTGCCAGCCTGACCCTTTGCACCTCTCAACTAATTCCAGTGCTTTCCCATTTCCTGCAGGACACACGCGGAGCCCAAGGTCCTCGCTGCTGACTGACCCCTCCAGTCCTTTCCCAGCTCTTCCCCGTTGGGCTTGCAGTCAAGATGCAAGGAGCAGAGGAGGAGAGGACTCTGCATATTCAGCACTTGACCCTGCCTTTTCCCAGGCAGAAATTCAAATGGGACCTCTCTAGGAGGGGATCACGGCATCTCCCCGGGGCATTCCTAGCTATTGTGGCTCCTCTCCTCTACCCCAGGCCATGTGTGTTTGTAGTTACCAAATGCAAATCACATTTCCCACCCTCCCGGCTGAATCTCTCACTCCACAAGATCCTTCCCGGGTTTTTTTTTTTGTTTTTTTTTGTTTTTTTTTTCCTCACCAGCTCGTTTTGCAATGCTCTGCGGAGCTCACGGCCCCTCCCGGTTTCACATCCCTCTGATCTGGGATGCACAGGGAGATGGCTATGGGGAAGGTAGTTAAGCAATCCTCCTAATTAAGTACCTGCACCACCTCCCGGCTCAGCCTGGCCCTGGCCACAGAAACCGCGGCTGTTTTGCAGCTGAAGACCCTTTCCTGAGGAA